AATGAGCTGATTTTTGATTTCTCGCACTCAATGTAAATGCAGTGCTCATATGTAGCATACGAAGGACCATCCCCTTGAACAATCAGGTTTTTAACATCCTCCTGTCCACCAGCCCCAATGGCTTTAGCAAACATTTAAAAAAAACACACTGACACAAAGGTCAAACTACAGCGATCTGAAATAACCTGGTCACATCCACCACCCAGAAACACACACACCATTACTCAATCAGACAGAAACTGCATCTCAAAACATGCACATAAACACACACATCATTAAATCACAAACTCACTCTACTGCAAAGGGAGGAGCAGGGAGTCATTAAAACAAGACGAGTGGTGATAAGAAATGATTGGAAAGAGGGAATGAAAGAGTGATGGAACATTACAGACCAGCTGGAAAGTGTTTATGACCCTCACGAATAAGGAGTGCGCAGTGAAGTACACTTAATATGTGTGAAATATTCAAAGGGGCTGTTCACACACAACACTGTTTTTTGCTTAGCCAATGAAAACATGTACTAGATGGATGTCTTTGTCCCTTATAGGACCTCTCTCTTTTTCCCCCGCATCTTCCACTGTGAGCAGTGCATTTCTAAGTTGCTATGTGAGGTTAAAACTTTTTTTTTTTTTTACACTAGATACAGGTGGATGAATGTCTGTGCATAAATGTCAATGGACCAATCAGATGACTCTGGGGGAGGGATGAGCATATTTGCATATTTATAAGCATATGTACATGTTTATAGACAAGCATTTTGAATAGTTTTTATTCACAATAATGTGTAGGAGATAATAAACATGTCTTTTTTTTTTTAAATATGCTGAACTCAACATGTAGCTGTTTTACCGTATTGGCACATCATATGTGAATGGCCCCTAACAACTAAGGGGAAAAAAAGCTGTAAATATCAATCAAAACGCCACAGCGAATGATGTCATAGGGAAAATGTGACATTACATCACTGCACTCTGTTCGTCTGGAATATTATGTGTATGCAGCTGGGTTGTCGCTTTACATGTAGACTGGGACAAAATTATTATGGGTGGCCCCAATAAGTACCAGAGAGCAGGGGTTTTCAAAGTGAGGGTCTGTAGAAAAATTTGAGGAAAAAACATGTAAATTACAAAAAAGCATATTTAAATAAATTAAAGTAAATAAATAAATAAATAATACAGTACAGTACTATAATGAGTATGAAACATTGAAATGTTTGAAACTACATAATTTCTGAATAATATTTTAGACATATTTTATACAGTATAAATTGGGTCTTCATACAAGAAACCATATAGATGCCTTTTAAATTTAGGATGGGGGTCCCTCGCATGAGGATGATTATATTTGGGGGACCGCATATAAACGATTGAAAACCCCTGCCATAAAGGATCTCACTAAGAACACCTGTCACAGGGCCTCTGTGTGTGTATGGAACTGTGAAGGTCTTCCCCTGACATGTCACGGACATAGCCGCAAGATCTTACCGCAACCGCAAACTGCTCTGAACTTCGCTGAGGTCTGTGTTTTTTTCTTTTTTTTAAGAATGAACAGAAAGCGGAACGTGAGCTGGCACTGCCTGACTCGCCAACCTGCAATTGTGCATATAAATATCTTTGGCGCGTCTTAGGAGATGGCTGAATCTGCACTGACGCTGAGGGGAGAAGACAGGGTCCCCTCCCAAATGGATTGTCATATCAGATTTAGGTGTATAGGTTATTACACCCTTGGGCTACTGTTTCCAGCACTGTCGTCTGGATGGGCCGGATTGGGTTCCCGAACTCTTCTCTCTCTCTAAAACCAAACGCACACACACAAACACTCAGTCTTTATTTCCTCTTAAAACTTTCTGTATGTCATTCAGTTGGACAGCGCTCAGGTGAAAAAAAGTTCAAGGGTTAGTTCAACCAAAAATGAAAATTCTGTCAACATTTACTCACCCTCATGTTGTTCCAAACCTGCATGACCTTATTTTTCTATAGAGCATAAAAGAAGATGTTTATGTGTTTTTGTCCATACAATGGAAGTTAACAGTCACCAAAACTGTTTGGTTACCAACTTCAAAATATCATCTTTTGTGTTCCACATAAGAAATAAAGTCATACGAGTTTGGAACGACATAAACGTGAGTAAATTATGACAGAATTTTACATTTGGATGAACAAGGGATTTTCTTGTTTTTATTTTGTAACCCTATTTTGTGTTTGTAGGTAAATTCTGGTTCAGACAAAAAATCAATTTATGCCCCTTGAATTCTGACTCTTAAAAACTGTAATGTCACTGTCAGAAACCTGTCAGAAAATGATCAGGTTATTACACAAAAACACCTAAAGCTAATACCACACACATCATAGGCTAAATGTATGGACTTTATTTATAGCAACAAAGTAAAGCTCACAGCAGTGTAAAAAAGCAGACAGAGTGCTATACAAAAGAAAAGTCCAGAAACACACTTGATCTTCAGTATGACAGAGTGGGCAGGCTGTCTGTCTCGAACTGCAAATGGCAGCCACTGGGGGGAGACAGCTTTGATTTGGCCATTTAATTTGGCTAGTTGAAAGTGACTTTTAAGTACTTTACTTCCAGGGTCAAACTCCTTGAAGTAACCTAGGGGTTAAGTGTCATACTCAAGTGAATTCAATAACTCCTATTTCTAATTCACCCCTAACCGGAACTGAACCTGTGATTCCTGGAGTCAGATGCAAAACCATTAGGTTACGTTCACCTGTAGACCTAGGAGAGGACAAAAGTCTCATTTATTAAGCCTTCCGAGCTCAATGAACGTGCTTTAACTGGGCTAACCTGCACAATTTGTACAAGAACTGTCATTTCAATTTAATTATTTTACTATTCATTAACCTACTTTAAAAAGGTGCATGGGGGTGTCACAAAGATGTAAAGACACTTTTGCTTCAATAAAACAGCTTTACACGTAGGACTATAATGAGAGGGATTACAAGAAAACATCAACCATCATCCTATTGATTTATTAAAGCGACTTGACTTGTATTGCTTCTCAATTAACAAACTGAACAGGTCGGTACTGCAGATTACCCAGCAGTTCCTGCAGGGTGCAAACTCATCAAAACTCCATGTGGTCTTTTAATTTGTCCTCTGAGAGCCATTTATGTTAATGATCTGCATCACTATAAGCAGGTGATACTCAAGTGAGTGAATATTGAATATGAATCATGAATATTGATCAGGTTAGGTTAGAACTGACTGTTTGAAGTGCAGATGATAGCATACTGGCACTAGTCGGGAAGTCAGTTAAGAAATGCTACTATGCTGAAGGCTTGGTTTCATTAACATTAATTGGATCACATGCCAGATCATTCTAAAGAGGTTACCAAGCAATTTCAGTGTGACCTTATCAATATTCATTAACTAACTCTTATCCATTTAAAGTTTTTTTTTTTTTTTATTGGCCCCATGAACACTAGATGTACATACATGTTGGTTACGGTAAGTCCAATTTATTTCCGTGAACTGGTTCATTTGAACAAAAAAAATATTTTACGTCACTTCATTGTCGCTGACACTGGAATGGCATATTTATGTGCTCTAAAAAATTCCAAATAAGTTAAACAGCATTTTTTATGTCCCATTTCAGTTTCTTGCAGTTTCTTATTACTGTATGTGCATTTACAGTAAAGCACTAAAATTAATATCTCACCTGAAAAATGTTTGCATGTTCTAATAATATTCCTATTTATTACAATCAGTTCTGTTTCATTTGCGTGTTAATAAAACTGTCCAGACTACAGATCAAAAGTTTGGGGTTGGTATTCTTTTTTTATTATTATTATTATTTTTTTTTTTTTAAAGAGGTCATATGATGCTGCTAAAAAGAACATTATTTTGTGTATTTGGTGTAATGAAATGTGTTTATGCGGTTTAAGGTTCAAAAAACACATTATTCTCCACATACTGTACATTATTGTTTCTCCTCTATGCCCCGCCTTTCTGAAACGCGTCAATTTTTACAAAGCTCATCAGTCTGAAAAGCGAGGTGTGCTCTGATTGGCCAGCTATCCAGTGCGTTGTGATTGGCCGAATACCTCAAGCATGTGACGGAAATGTTACGCCCCTCACCATACTGTGATGCCCTGTCCGGCTGGAGCGACAAGACAAAAACATGCTTTCACAATGAAACAGCGTCACACACGGCGGGCTAGAGTGAGCGGCAGCAGCCTAGAGTGAGCAGAGGCCGGCGGCTAGAGTGAGGAACAGCCGGCGGGCTGAGTGGGCGGAGGCTGGTGGGCTTGAGAACAGCGCGGCCGGCGAATTCGACGAAGGAGCGGCAGGCGGGCTTGCGGCAACCACATGTGACGACCCAAATCGCATCATATGACCCCTTTAAATAAGTTTCTTATGCTCACCAACGTTGCATTTATTTGGTTAAAATGGTTAAAAACGCAATAAAATAGTAGTATTGTCAGATATAATTTATATATTGTTATTTTAAATATTATTTTAATGCAGTTTTCTATTTGAATACATTTTGAATTGTAATTTATTCCTGTGATGGTAAAGCTGAATTTTCAGCATCATTACTCCAGTCTTCAGTGTCACATGATCCTTCAGAAATCATTCTCATATGCTGATTTGGTGCTCAAACATTTATTAGCCTATTATTGCACATTATAATAAAATGCTGTTTATTACAACTCTGTTTAATATGCGTGTTGATAAAACTGTCCTATGTTTCCAGTATGTTTTTTATTTGTAACAATTGTTTTATTTGTAACATTTATTTGTAATAATCAGCTATTAATGTAACGTTAACTGACGTTTATTAAAGTAACTATCGAGTTTAATGAGTCAACTGACTTAAGAACCGCTTGGACTGATTCGTGATCAAATTGTTCAGACTGGTTTTGTGAACCAGTTTGACAGATTCATTAAATAGATCCGACTAAACACAGAAGTTATTTGTTCAAGAATCACACCTAGCTGCCTTGGCGGCCAGAGGAAGACATACTGTAAATGTAACACAGTACCTGGCGGTGTTAAGCAGAGGGTGTTTTGTTCCCACCAGCTTCCTGACATGCATGGCCACATTGCTGAGCTCGTCACTGAGTAAACAGCGTAAACTCATCAATGAAGTTGGATATCCTACGATCTTCTCAGCATCAGACACCACTTTAGTCCAGTTAGATGGAGATGGGTTGGAAAAAATACTTAGATGCCTCCATCCAATGTAAGAAAGCCGTGACCTCCAAGCCATTTTAAAAACAAAAACAGAAAATAATAGACCAGTTATTTAAATGTATGAATGTTCATTGGTACTTTCAGATTGAAGTTCACATCAGAGATCTGACACGCTCTTTTAATAGTGTCAAATCCAGCAGCCTCTGCCCTCCCAATGTCACCTCCTTAGGGAAGAAAACATCCTCTTCTTTTACACAGAAGTCGCCTCCACTGAACGAGCGATGGTCCTTAGTTAATGCAAGTACATTAGTCCAAACCGATAGTCCGTGCAGGTTTCTGCGTGTCCAGTTGTACAACATTAAACTCTCAAGTTTTGACAGCGGCACCGGGTCGCCATCTTTTACGAATCAGTTTACGGCTTGTCGTAAATACTGCGCGGTTAACCCCTTCGTCACCAAAACCCAATTAAACAAACTGAAGGAAATGTGAAAAACAGTCTGTTTTAATATTCATAAATACATTTCTTTTATTTAATTAGTCGACTGGAACAGCAGATTTTTGTTCTCACCACAAACACAGTTTTTTTTTCTTGACACAGTCACAGTCAACTTTTCCAAGCTGGTATCTGCCAAATTTGGGTTGTGTGACAAAAATGTGCATCAAAATACTTTAATTACACTCACAGCCTTTGATAAATGGAAATTATGCATTTTCTCCTGCCTTTTAAAGGTTGATAAGCCATCCTAAATATGTGTGATTACATGGTTAGTTGGATTTTAGGATTTGCATTTACCATTGTTTCTAGTCCAGGGGTGCCCAGACTCGGTCCTGGAGGGCCGGTGTCCTGCAGAGTTTAGCTCCAACCCCAATTAGACACACCTGAACCAGCTAATCAAGCTCTTACTAGTCATACTAGAAACTTCCAGGCAGGTGTGTTGAGGCAAGTTGGAGCTAAACTCTGCAGGACACCAGCCCTCCAGGACCGAGTTTGGGCACCCCTGTTCTAGTCTGTTGTGTACGACCCTATTAGAACAGACATGCAACCCATTTTTGGGTTGTGACCCACCGTTTGAGAAACACTACTCTGTATTGCATGTCGTAGTGTGATTATTCTGGATTTGTGATAATGCCCATACTGAGATCACGCCATTCAAATGAATCCCATGGGATAACAATGTTGACTTCAGCTGTATCAACTGTTAAAAGCCAGGAGAGAATTTCACTTAAGCGCAAGAACCTTAATGATGTCCAAAATTACTTTTTACACAGTCCGAATTGTGTAATTGATGGATAATGTTCTTCTTTTGACACTGTGGCCTTTGTTGGGAAATTCACATTTTCAAACCTATCACAGATGGTGACACTGTTGTTGGCCACAATGTTACCACCCAGACAGAAGTTACTTTTCAGGGTTACTGTGTCTGAAGCAGAAAGGAGTTGACACATTTCACATTTCATTTTGAAAACGTTTTTATGATTATCTACTTTACTTCAACTGAACTCAATAGTGGGCTTGCATGAGGTTAACATGTTAAGACCATTAGCCCAGTTCAATCTGTTAAACTGATGTCTTGGGTCAAACTAGTAAATTTGTACTATCCTATTTGACTCTATTGCAGTGCATCTTTCATTACATCTCTTGAGGCTGATCAAGATTCTGGAAACACGTACGCCGGGAACATTATTTTAGTGCCATGAGTGTTACCATGATATTGTTTTGTAATTGTCCAAATAAAATCTGTAAGACCTAAAATGTTACTACTATATACATTTGACAGTAAAGTAAATCAGTAATATATTTTATCTGTTTTAACAATGTATTTGTGGCCTTTTTTAACCTGAGATTAAGAGTATAAGATTGTAAGATCATGGATTGCTCATTACAAGGATTAAACTGGCAATTTTTGTTAATCATAATGCCACACCACCCCATTCTGTAGACATGAAAAGAAGTTATAGGTTTGAGAATAATGAGGGGGAAACAAACTGTTGATTACACATTCACACATGCTGCTGTGGGCATAGAGAGAGAGACTGACAGAAAGGGAAAAATCAAGGGCCACTCTGCTCTCCTCTCTCTTTGAAATTCAATCAATTCGACCTTCTATTTAAGACTGGGTTGCATTACTTTAATCAACAACACATGGCACATGAATCTCAGATTCCCCACTCACCTATTTTACAGTGAACTGTCTCAGAAGTTATTTACCAAAAGTCTATACGGTTACTCTGACAGATGCCCTCATCATCACAAATATAATGGCACTTCCAACAACTTTTAATTTCTGAACAGGATCGATGAAACCCTCCTCCTTCTTTTAGGGCTTCCAGAGAATTTCCAGATCATACCACACCCATTTCATGCTGTCTCTGGGTTTTTGATATCTGGTTAGTCTGAAGCTACTTATCTGGTGCATAAACCATGAACCAAACCAGTCCAGCCTTAGAAAATGTTTCCTGAGCATCTCTGAAATGCCAGCCTTTCCTCTGCCTTATTCTGTTTAAAACCTTCACGTTTAGCATAAAGTTCTGCTCATTTGTCAGCAAACACCTCCACAGGTTAAAAAATGGATGTTTACTGCATTTACAAATCCTCCACTCAGTCTTTTTAATGGCACTCAATGAAATTATACCAACGCCTAAATAATCAACCATCTGCTACACGATTCCTGCAGTAGAGCTCTGCTTTTTGAGTATCCACATTCAATTCACCTGTCGTTCTTTATTTGCTGCAGTACAGTGTTTGATCACTGCTTCATTTGTCTTTTCGATCTAATCTTTGTCATTCTTTCAATTGTTGTCACTTATGATTAATTAACAAATTAAAGCTGTAATCATCGCGTAATTAAGAGGTCTGCTGTGCTCCATGAAGTAATTTAATCAAACCAAAACTTCACAAGCAACATTTGTCTTTCTATAGAGTTGTCTTCGATAAAACTGGAGGCAACCAAGACAGCAAGCTATTGTGGTATGTTTGAAAGTTCCTGTTCAACCGTAGTATCTAGTTTGTGGTAGGTAAACCTCAGTGCATAAAGAGGAATTCATGGGAAAAACATCACAGACAATAAGTCAGTTTAACATATAGTATGTTTGGCTTTTATATGCGAATTGAAAACTCAAGGTTCATGCTTGATATGCACAACAGAATTGTCATAGCCCCATTTAATTAAAGAGCAGTGGTCTTAATTTAAAGAAGCATAAAATTAATCCAAGGAAAAATGACAATAATGTAGTTATTAAACAACTGAGAGCAATCGGCACTGGAAACCCACTTGTGTGTACTTTTCAAACGATCGTTTTGTACTTTTTTAATTCCTGAAAAGATTGAGCGGAGGCAAGGTTGACCCTCATTTGGTGGCTGCTGTGTGTTTCAGTGGAGAGCTGTATTTTGCATAGACTCTGTGGGTGATCCGAGTCACATTTAAAGATAGTACGAGGTGAGTTTCTGAATTCAGTTGTGGTGTGTATGTGAAATAAAGAGATGCTGCTACGGTGGACGAGACTGTTATACATACAACGGGAGAGAATATTGCATGTTCAAAGCTTCATCTGTCCCTGTGAATGTTTATTTTTCATGAACCAATGACGGATTCGGCATCCAGCTGTTTTACATCTACTTTTAATTCCTTTTGTAATACTTCCCTCTCGTAGAAATCCCATAAGTATCTTTTTGAAATGGAGACACACTAACACACGCATTTTCTCTCACACACACACTTGAGAGGACACAATACACACACAATATAAACAAGCAAGGATTACAATGAGAACAGAAAAGGCTGATGTTGTCTCATGACCACACTTTTTCCACCAGGCATTTCCCAAGAGATGTAAATTCCATCCTCTAATCTTATTTGTCATTGCATATTAGAGCCTTACTTGTGTTTACGAACCATATTCCTCTGCACTTGATACACAAGGCTAAGAGCTATGGAATCGAATCGGAGTGAAAGCCAATCCACGCTGGAGAAAACACCGTTTGGCCTGTTCGAGAAACGGGCTGAAGCACCTCCTCTAGTATCAAGAGGGGTAACAGTATCCTTGCTAGAATGTAACTGTTTATCATGGGCTAATGTTCGGCAGGGGCTGCCAGAGCTGTGTGTGCTAAACAATGCACTCATTCAGGCCGTCGCGCATCTGCTAGTGATCTGGGACGGGACGTCGATACGCTCTCAAGGACGACGGCCTCTGGTCCGATCCAGAGGAGAGAGGAGGTCTTGTGCCATCCTACCCTACATGTGCCATGCTTGAGAGCCAATTCACCAGTGGACAGGAGATGGAGAAAACGAGAAGGAGGGAAATGGGGAGTGATTTATTGAGGGTTAAACATACAGATTATTCTCTTTCTTAGAGAAAAACTTTGTAAAAGTAGTCTATGCGACTTTCATCTGCAGCTTAACAGTCCATTAACTCTTTCTGTCCAGACTTTTAGGCTCCATCTTCCTCACAGAACCCAAGGTTTGATTCACGGAGAGCAGCCTTAACTTAATACTGAAGTAAAAGTGATGAAGAGACTTACGATGTGATTTGTTTGTTGCAGGTTGACCTCTTCGTGCACTCCAAGATGTCCTCAAAGTGGTTCTTAACCAGTAGATTATGACCCCAATATGGGTTCAGTTCTTTTCTGATAGGGTTGAAGGATAGCAGGTGAAAACATTTTTTTAAAACTCATACAATCATGCGTAGATAGCAATATGAAAAGAAAATGCTTCCCATATATTTTGTTGTTGGTGTCAAAGTTCATGTATCAGTTAAAAAATTATAATGATGATGATGATGATATTTTGCTGCAAATTCACCTGGCTTGTTCCATGTTTTTACTTTATACAAATTCAACCACACTGAAAATTTGTAAGATTTACGTTGAAACAATTTTCACTCAGAAATTGCTAGCAAATTTCGCAAATGATTACAAAGAAAGGACAAATAACTCAATGATAAAACAAATTTATGCTGAAAGACTTAAAAGAACGCGTTTTCTTGTAAAACACTTTTACAGTGCATGTTCTGTCATTTATGGATTATGGATTTTCTGTTTTCTTATTGTTGGAACTGTCAAAAATAGTCATCAAAAAAAATAATGTCTGATTTAAGATTTATTTTTCACTTATCTCATGCTTCAGTACAGATATGACACTTTTGTGTGTGTGAGAGAGAGACTGAAAAAATACCTCAGACAAGCTAAATTAAGAGAGTTTTTAGGGACATTTAAGTGGGACCACAGAGTTTAAGAAATAATATATAGGCATACATATCTCTTACTTGTAACACATTTGTTTTGCCCCTGTAAAGTCTTTGTCTGTCACTCACACACACCTTCAGAGTGGGTTTTAATTACCTGCAGATATCTGTCTCATAAACACTAACACCCATTATGATAATTCCACCCATTCAAAGATGTTTAATTAAAA